TTCAGATGAAGAGTATTACATTGTCGAGTCCAAAAGTCATGCCAATATCATTAGAAAAGGACTCTTTCAAATTGGTATCTCCTTTGGCAAGGAGCTCGATGTCATCTATGTAAAGGAGATGAGTAAGCGGTGTTGGGGATCTGTGCTGAGGAGGTCCGGGATGGTAACCTTCCTCTTTATTGAGCAGAAAGCTAAAAAAATATATATACATTGGCCGATGTTTATATGACATCAAGAAATCCGTGCAAATAAAGGTTGTAAAGCGTTTACATGATCAATTTGTGCTCAATAAAAAGCATAGTTGTGTACTTGATGTTATGGTTTTGTTATGAGAATGACAGTTATTTGTGCGCTGAGGAAAAGTGATTTATTTTTAAATAATTCACCTTAAAATTCTGAACGAGTGAAAGATAATCGACGGTCATGATTCCATTTTTTTTCATATATTAACTTTACTATATCAGCTGAAAAATATTTAAACAAAAGTTTTCAGAATGAATGATTTGGAAATTTGAAGCCATAAAGGAAGTGAAAATTTTACCGTATTAATCCTAGTTAACACTAAATCATATAGTAATTTACCTTATAAATATAGGTTTCATAATTCTGGATCCTTTAAGACACATCTACAAAAGATACCAATCGTTTCCTTTACTGTTTAGTTTGAAATAAAAGTACTTTATCTCATATTTTATATGTAAAATCAAACTGTGATGGAGAAAATACAAACGAAGAACAATTGAAACGCATACCTTCGATTAGATAAAAAGAAATATTGTGTCGATTTCGTATTCAGTTATCAACATGTTCGATGTAATATTTGAAAGAAGAGCGCCGTTTGAATCGCTTGTTGCAGGTTTTACAAGAATAGATTCTACCTTCGTGAGCACTCCTCATATGATCCATAAGTTGAGTTTAATTGAACAACAACCTGTCTGCTGAACAACTACCTGAGTTCTGGTGACGGTACAGATTTTTCTCGATCCATACGCCTTCCTACACTGTGAGCAAACCTCTGACCGAATGTCATGATACCCATTGACTTGTGACCTGTAGTTCCAAACCTTCTGGAACTTCTTATCACACATCGTACATGAACATCGCCATTTATTTTCATGGACACGTCTTTGGTGAAGTGTGCTTCAGTATTTGTATTATAGGCATGAGATTATGGTCTTTATTACAATAAGGGATATACAATTCACATTATTAATGACAGGGGATTAAGGGGGCAGAAGATACAAATTGTGAGAGTTTTAATAAAATATTGAAGATATGAAGTGATTGGTAACGTTGTAAGGTGGGAGGTAAGGTAGAAAGTCAGTAACGTAGGTAATGAACATGAAAGTAGGTCGCTGGAGCTGGTGAGTGCAAGGGGGAGTGACTCATAGCTTAGATAGAGGAAAAAGCTACTATACTATCAAGATGGAGCGACCTGGCCGGGGACCTGGCCACCAGTTCCTGGTACTCTACGAGACATATATGGTTAGGAGAGAGAGACCCTGAGATTCCTGGAATCCACCTCACGGTCGTACAAATATGGTAGTGGGGGTACGAAATAGAGGTGGGGGAGAGAAATAGATAGTCAAATTATGGGTTATTGACCAATAGAAAAAAATGAAAAGGGTGTTGGCTGTGACGTAGGAACCCAGGTTTAAGCGGGAGCAAAGCTCAGAAACGGGAGTCTGGTGCGGGCCTGCTCTTGCTGTTGGTCACTAGGAACCGTCTGAGAAATTATCTTGAAGCACCAGCATTTTGGCTTAAGACTGAAGCTTTGCGGCTGAAGTCTTATAGAGTGACCATAGAGTAGGTTGACCAGCAACACAGTTTCAATAAAAACTATTGAACGAAGATCATCGTCTTGTGTTGCTGGATGAACTACGGTAAAGTTCCAAGGGCCCCCGGGTACTGACACTGTACCTCTCGCACATCCCATATCGTCAGGACCGAAGTACGGGGGTATACCGTAGTTCAGGTAACGACACGCCATCCCAGGTACGGGATACCGACAGGTAAAATACCATCTACCTGACAGGTAAAGGTGCTAGTCGGAACGCCTTGGAAATTTGGACTTACAGACATGACCGCATACATCACAGATGTTGGTGTTATCAACTTTCTTTCTTGGTGTGCTCGTAGTCAAACCTGAAGTATCAAACGATGCGCTTGACTCTCGTTTTGACACTTAATATCTATTTCTGAAATTTATTAGTTTCTTTATATTTTCATAACCAAGAACAGTGCTTCCAAGACAGTGCTAATAAAACTACCAGTGAGGAGTGTAAAATGCGTCAAAACAGGAGTGGTCAACTACCATTACATGAACAGTTTACTTTCAGCGGAATTACACGTAAAGTATAGCCTGCAACGATATACTTTACTGATGCCTTCACGGAAACATTCAATTCTTTCGTTGTAAATCATGCAAATCATTCAAGAATAAATATTATTTTTAAAAATAGCCAATGAAGCGGTATTTCACGTTCGATCTTCGAGCCATTTGCGAGAGGTGTTTTGGAAGCCCGATTTTGAGGAGCATACTTAATGACATGATATAATCTTTATGCTAGAGTCTTTGTTCGAGTCCATATTTTCAGTTTTTTTGTGAAATAGTTAATCGTTGGGACGACGAAATACGCTAACTTACCCGCGATCGACCACCTCTCGCCTTCGCAATAACTGTACATCGAGGAAATGGTAGTGGCAAAGTAGCAACTGAGGTTTATCAAGTACATTTGTACAGGGGTTCCCTACGGTGACTAAGGAACGGCCGATTGATATACCAAATTAGCCTTGCGAATAAGTCTGCAAAGAGGTTTCTTTTAGGATCGGATTTGGGGAAGCGGATTAAAGGTCACAGACTTTCTACGGCGTAGTTCACTTATTTTCAATAAAAAGGTGCAAATGGTGTCGCTGCCATGCTTCTCCTAAACTTCATTAGCAAATGTTATTATCAGTATGGTTGGATAATGGTACCAACCTGGCCAACATCCATCATGCATAAACAGTCCAATAACCCCAAAGTATATTTGTTACAACTATGTTAATAGGTCAGTTTGAAATGTTCGTTACTGTCGCCGATAACAAAACCTTACTTTGCAGTTAAACTTAATGCAGTTTGGTATACAAATACCTGGATATTAGTACCTCAGGACTTTGATATTGGTCAAAAGTTCAATTTTCTGCAAATTGTTAAGCCAATGCAGTATTATTCGTTACACTGCTATACTGAAGTCTAACCAATCCTAGTAGAAGGTCGCGTCACCTAACCTTTTCGACTGACCAATCAGAACACAGCTTACCAAATCGAGAAAGTTAACATTCGCACATACCGTTTGAACCTTTACCTCAAAAACTCGAACGATTCCGAATCCTATTTCCCGCACAATAGCTTCCGAGTGAAACACATGGACTGACTGACTGACTGAGTTTGGTTTTACGCCGCTTTTAGCAATATTCCAGCAACATCACAGCGGGGGACACCAGAAATAGGCTTCACACAATATACCCATGTGGGGATTCGAACCCGGGTCTTCGGCGTGACGAGCCAACGCTTTAACCACTAGGCTACCCCACTGCCCCGAAACACATGGAGGACGCAATGAGTAAACAGTCGCTGAAAATAGCGTTTTTGCCAATATTCAAGTGAGTGAGTGAGTTTAGTTTTACACCGCACTCAGCAATATTCCAGCTATATGGCGGCGGTCTGTAAATAATCGAGTCTGGACCAGACAATCCAGTGACGGGTACCAATATTCAAGGATGTCATCTTGCGGAAATATAAGCTAATAGTAACCATGTCATTAAAAACCCCTATCTGTATTTTATGCGGATCTTCGTTTGTTGATAGATCAGTGTCAGCGACCGGGCAAGAGAAAACCCCAAAACCGTTTTGCAAGTCCCGCCGAACCCAACAAGTAGTCGTCTCGCGTTTGATTGGACAGTCATAGGTCGCTCAAAAGGTTAGCTGACGCGACCTTCTACTAGGGTTTGTTAGACTCAGTATAGCAGTGTAACAAATAATACAGAGCCTAAATGTACTTAGACTGACGAATAATACTGAGCCTAAGTTCACTATACCCACACCATGAGATGCAAGCAACAAAGTGGGCTTGAAAACCACCCCATCCATTTCACAGCTTTTTACAACATATGAAATACACATTGCATCAATTTTCATATGGATGCTTTCTGAAGTGGATATAAAATGGGCCAATACATCTTTTCAAAATGGCATATCTAGCGGCCATGTGTAAATCCAGCTTGCAGGCTGTTTAGTCTTCTTGGGATTGGAACTACATGTTAACCACAGACCTGAGATCAAGTAACATAATTAAAAACAGTTGTCAGTTTAAATGGGGATTAGGCTCTTTCATGGTTTGTAGTCAAGGTCTTCACTCTGTGGTTTACAGTTTCTCTGTGTACAATAGAGGGTAGTACCCACGAAACCGACATAACTTGGGAGGAAAAATCAAGCCACTTAAGTTAATGAATTGCTAAATAACAGAACATTCAGCTAATACATCGACACAAATCTTAAACTGACTCAATAATGGTAAAAATACTTAGGGACCTTTCATAATTTATGCCTAGGAGGAGGATGATTTTAATGGAGGAGCATGTAAAATGCACCCCACCCCCCAACTATTTTTAAATATTTTATGTACAGCATTGTTGGTCCCTCCTAGTTGACACAGTGTACAAGTGATGCCCCCACCCAAACAAAATGGGTGACAGCCCACTCCAAAATCGTCACTTCCCCTCGCCATAAATTATGAACGGTCCCTTAATGTCATGTTCATGCTGAAAAGCACCTACCAGACAATCTTGAGACAGTTAACAGCAAATGTAACTCTATATGACAACCAGCAGTCTCTGAGGCTGATCACTTGTTTCAGTTTCACGCCAAACCACCATGACTGCACCCTTAAATCCACGGGTGCCTGGCAGGTACATGGATACAGTGTCCCTCCGAACAAAGAAATTCATAAAACAAGCAATTTTCTTTAAAAATATTGTTTTATTTTCTGATGGAACAAGATAGCTGCTCTTGACAATACAAATCCCATTTTGAAGTCAATTGATTTCAATGATTAGACGAGAGTGTATGTAAACGCCTTCCCATACACCAAGTTCCCTTTGTGGTTTGGTCTATAGAAACATGTTAGGAAGGGCTCCCTGCCCAGCTGGAAGCCATCATGGCAGTGGAATGTGGCTAGCTGCACTGTTGTAATCATGTCAAGTGAGAGAGTGAGGCTTTATGTTGCTTCAGCAACATTTAACTCATCCCATTAACCATGTGAACTAAATACACAGGTTCTTCTGATGAAAAATTTAAGAATTCACTATAAAAACTCAAATACATGTATATTTGATATAATGACATGATAATGTAACAAATGTTTTTCTTGTATTAGCTAGAATACTTTAATAACATCAGCCAAAGGGTGAGCTACTTGTGATGTGTGTACCTCTCATTGTCAGGAGTTGATGTGAAGTAATCTCAGTAAGATTTCAATGGAAGCTTCCTTGTAATGAAAATGTAAATTGGTCCCATGATAAAGAGATTCATACTTGGAATTAGACCAATAAAATATGTCCTGTAGGTATCTGACACATGGCATGTCTCTGAAGAGGTATTACATTAAATGTAGTGCAGTGTCTGAGATCAAAACAAACTGCAAAGATCATAGCAATGGACTCATTATCTAGAACTGATGACACATAAATGACTTATTCTTAGAAAACTACAAACTTAAAAAAATTAAAAAGCTTTGACCATGATTAAGTACACGTCATCAGTCATCGTTGGTACACATGATCAACAAAAACTACAGAAAATGAGCAGCTTCTTAAAGTATACTTTTCATCAATTGTGTATGCAGGTCGCAAGGCTGCTCTGAAACGAACATGTGCTAACTGAAATCTCAAATTCATGATTTTCTTTCAATATGATTACACATGTTAAACACACTGGTAATACATAAGTTATATGTACTTTCATTTTCAAATTATAAAAATCTTTTCAAGTACCAAGCTGGTACAAACAATCCTTATCACAGTGCTGTTTAAACACTGATAAAACATATTCCATCTTGTTAAACTCTTCACCTGAAAATTCAGGTGTAAAGATACACCTTACAATCTGTACTCTACTTAGCTGCCCTCCTGCTTCAGCTACAGACTATGTAATGCTAAATCCCAGACACTTGGTGCTGTGAACTAGTACAGGGTATTTGTAGGTGTTCCGCAAAATTCTCAATCATGACATTCATTTATCCATACAAATGACTAAGAACTGTTCGGATGAACCCACACATAAAACTGAAAGGAGCATGGTGAAGATAGATGTCAAATTGAACATTTTCCTCAAGGGAAGATAAGATCTGTTATATGACATGAGTAGATAAATGGGTGTGCACTGAGAATGCTGCAGATATGGTTACACGACAATCATTATGAAGCGAGATGTCTGGTTAAGTGACAAATATGAAAACATCAACAAGGCACTTTAAGGGCAAGATTACCTTAGTATAAAAATAACTACTGATGGATGATGGAGCATTGCACACAGCTGACACAATGAAACCCACAGATCAGGAACATCCTCATTCATGGAAGACATACACTCACACACTATGAAACTCACAGATCAGGAACATCCTCCTTCATGGAAGACATACACTTACACACACTATGAAACTCACAGATCAGGAACATCCTCCTTCATGGAAAACATACACTTACACACTATGAAACTCACAGATCAGGAACATCCTCCTTCATGGAAAACATACACTTGCACACAAATGAGAAACTGATTCACTTTCACACTCAATGAGGGAAGTTATAACTAATTTCATGCAAGAGAACAGGCAATATATTCTTGTGACTTATGTAAGCAGATAATCAATTTCTAATCTATCAATAACACCAGTAATCATTTCATTTTCAGCAATGTCTGTCAAAATATTTCACCACTGCTAATGCAATTTTAATGACCATTTCTGTTACAAGGTCGGATTGGAATAATATCTTATATTAACTACAAAACCTGTACACATTTACTAAATAAATTATACAATACAATATACACTGTTGCCAAGGAAGAGCATGTAAAAGGTCAGACCCAAGCACCTGTTTCACTTTGAGTATGTACAAGTGTCTATATGTGACCGTTTTCCAGAAAATCCATAAATGCATATGCAGTAATACCGGTAATTTTAAAAAACACATGGTAGAGCAATTACAAACCAGTCTAGCTAAGACCCCTTGATGCTCACCTTGACTATAAGCCGACTGTGGCATGGGGTAGGATATTTTTATGGCCACAATACAATCAACACTGTTTTAGTTTACTTGTCTTCATAACAAACAATCTTAAGTATTTGCTTCTCTGATTTTGTGGTGAAAGTGTACCTTCCTACTATGGAAGTTAAGGGGAGATAACTCCATGGTGGGACAAGACTCGGTCAAGTTGGTAGTTAAGTTGTGTAAAAATGAACCTTGAGTAATTAATCTTAAAATGGTTTCACTAATACTACTCAGAACACTGTGTGGCATGGTGACTAGAAATACTAAAAGATATTCCAATATTTGTTTTGTTTTCCATGTCATTAACTTCATTCAACAACACATAGCATTAAATACGTAAATATTGTTATAATAAATAAAAGGGGCAAGCTTTATAATATATAAAAGAAAACAGAAATTTTACACTGAAAATGCTGTGGTACAAAAGTAGTGGAGTAGATCAATGTTTATACAAAAGTTGGAAATGCATCTTAAAGGACAGCAGTTCTGAGAGCCTTCACAATATGCACCTTCATTCTGCAGAAATATATCTACGACTTATCAAAACAGCTAACTTCAAGCTTACTATAACACTTTTTAGCATTAACCTTGATGGTATTTTGAAAACATTAATCCAAACACAAATGTTTTGTGACATAATATCTAGATTTGTGTGCAATGAATGACAAAACCTACTGTGAACAATATAAACACTTAGTTACATCTGCCACTAGTTACAGGCTCAAATGTTCCAGGAAAAGGAGTAAAGCAGGATTTGAAATCAAGTCATGATTAGCAATGCAAGAAAACCTTTTGAGATGACCCCATACATACCTGAGACGCTCAAAACAATGGGGATGACAACATGGTTGATCAACAGGGCAATACCGTAACAATGTCAACAAAAGCACTTTTGCCGACTGTTTCACTATAATAAATACCACGGAAACAGCTCGGGCAAGGGATACCCTATCAGCACATCATGTGCTTGGCAGTGATCTGCATAATGAAAATAGGAATCATTTTGTAGTTCTTCATGTAAATATGGTATATAAATAAAGCACCTCTAGAGCAGGAGTGTGGAGAAAAGATTGCATTTTGTGTGAGCTGTGCGAGTCATGTAAGAAATAAAACACTTATGGTATTTTCTTGAACAACAGAACTCTGTTAGGAGCATATTCAACTCAGGGTTGAGCCACTCGGTGTATTTTACCTGCATATTTTCATTGTTTGATGAACAACAACGATTTGTTTATTTCTCAAATAATGATAGTGTTAATGATAGAAAAACCAATCCAATTAACTTGGTCTCAGGATCTGATCAATATGCAAATCAGGTCACTGAGCAGGAACCACTATTGTCTTGGAATGTAGCATTGGACCACCTTGGACCCCACGTTGCTCAAGTCAAGCCAACACACTATAAGCCCACTGAAGTGCGAGACTGTATTTCAGCTGGCACTGGAAACGTTATCAAGTAATTCGTACACATTTTCAAGCATTAACAACAAAAATGATTGTAATGAAAGAAAAGTTTTCTTAACTGCTCATTTAATTTTTTTTTAAAGTCTCCATGAATTCAGTAAAAACAAGATGTAAATAGAGATTATGAAAATGAATTCAGTGTTTGAGTGAATCACCCCACTTTATAATATCAGAGTGCCAAATGATTTTCAGCCATATACATCAACATAATTACTCATATCTTCTCAAACCCTATCTAGACCCGTTCACGACGTTAGTCAAAAGTTTATTTAAATGTTTGTACAGTAATGTATGAAGATAACAGTTCCTGCTTGGAGGCATTATTTGCACATATGTCGAGTCGTGACCGCACATATACTTCATGGCTATCCATAATCCTATCTATCATATAACAAATGGATTTGACAAATTGTAAGCTTTTCAAAACCTTGGCTTGAATGAAGTAACGTGGGTGTCAATGTTCAAAAGACCAACAGCTCACAAATTCAAAATCAGTACTTCTTCTCCACAAACCTGGCCTGCCATTCACACAGAAAAAGCCACACATCTACACGACACATCATGCTAACAACAATTACTGGCATGGTCACGTCTAACTAGCCACGCTCGTGTTTAGAATGCTCTGCAGGAGAGAGTGGGAAAAACAGAAAGAGTACAATCTTCACATATACATCACTGTATAACATTAAGTATGCAAGAATTTCAAGTTTAAGCTTGTACATGGTATCTACAGTGAAACCTTTGATTATTCTAGCTTTCAAGTTCGTCAGAAGGGTCAAGTGCACCAATGTTGGACCACCACGAAGACTTTCTCTTAGTACCATAACATTACATTGTCTTAAAACAATGTATTAAGTTAATGAAGGTTCAACAAAGGTTTCACCATATGAAAACAATTCCAAATGTTCCAACTCAAAACTAGGAAAACATTAACAAAATTATAAACAGTTGAATCAAATAAAAATATATTCTGGGATTTCTTGAAAAAAAGAAACAAAACAAATTTCAAAAGGACTGCAGATAGACCATTTGTCTCCTGTACAGCATTCCAAAACACACAACTATACTGCTAATGTGATATCATAGGCATCGAAGAGATCCGAGATGCCCTCGCAGTCCGTCAGACCGAACATGTAGTCGTCCACGTCCAGAGGTGGTTCCAGGTGGACAAACGGTGAGTCAAAGTTCTGGTCTTCTGTCTGCAGTAGCAGGCTCTGGTTACAGTCTGGGGACAGGTCTTCTTCCTCCAGCAGGGCATTTTTTAACTTAGGCTGACCTGAACACAGAGGACCATTCAAAATAAATACAAGGACAGGTAAGGCACTGGTTTCACCGACCTCACAGTGTGTGTGTGTGTGTGTGTACGTGCGTGCGAGCGCGTGCAACTTTAGATCATGACATGTTGTATAAGACCAGTAATCTTAAGATGATAGAGAGATTTATGTACATATGATATCACCCACTCCAGAAGTTCGTATTTTTCTTTGAGGCATTCTCTAACTGCTTTTTCCTTCCAAGATGATTGGCAATTCTGATCCTTATCATGCTACCTTGCTCTGATCAAAGTTTATACGATGGAGACAATTGGTTATCAGAAAAAGCTTTTTTAGAAATCATATCAAACTATTAGCTGGCAATGCACAGAACTGGACAACACATTACTGGTAGTGTTTTGTACCTTAAATGTTGGTTGTGGTTTTGGAAGTCTGCTTACTGATGCAACTAAGGTAACAGTGAGTGAGTGAATTAGTTTTACGCCGCACTCAGCAATATTCCAGCCATATGGCGGCGGCTAACTAAGGTAACAAAGAGTGTGACAAATACAATTAAAATTTTCCTTTAGTAAGCAGCCATGCTAGCTGAACACGAACTCTTTGATAAACAACTTGGTACATGGAGAACATTTCACACAAACCCTGCATGTGGAGAAAAGTATTGATCTGTTAATAGGGCAACATCCATGGTACTTTCTTTTAACTTTCAGACAATTCAGATTACAAGTCATCATTACTGTCCTTACCTTTAAAACTATCACAGGATACCGAGTCTTCTGAGAAACAGGAGCTCTCCTCCCCACAGCTTCCCGCACTAACGCTCTTCTTCACACTACCAACATCACTCGAGGTGCTCTCTGTTGTACCACCGCCATCACTGGGGCAGCTGTCATTGCTGTTGTCCATGTCAGTGATCTCCTCGGGACATAGGAACACTTCAATCGGACCCTTCTGACTCTTTAACCAGATCTGTATACTCTGACAACAGAAATTCTTTCATCAAACCTCAAATTCTATGTCAGTTAGACAAATAACTTTAAACAGACTGATTACAATAATTGATTTCAATGATTGATTGGTTTCAAATTTAACCAATCTTCAATTTCCTAATGATATTAATGGGATGAGTGGGTATGGTTTTACGCTGCTTTTAACAATATTCCAGCAATATCACACCAGAAATGGGCTTCACACACGGTAGCCATATGGGGAATCGAATCCAGGTCTTTGATGTGACAAGCGAACGCTTGAAACATTAGGCTACCCCACTGCCCCTATTTATGGAATGAAATTATTTGGGAAAGTGCAATTATGTAAATTATTCTTTGTTACGTAATGCTGCACTGGAGGACTGACCAACCAACAATCCAGACCCTCTGAGTACAGTTATAGGATATCAACTAAGACTGCTGTCGACCTATTACAATGCCATAAACCAATGCAGCATGATTATATACTTTTTTACATTAATTGAATTGTTTTCAACAACTACAAATTGTAACCAATTTAAAAATTAGCACCATTGTAGCTATCTGTATTATATACTTACTTGCTGTGGATCAGGCACCTCCAACCTGGTCTCTGGGGGTGCTTTAATGGCAATCACAGTTTGTTCGTCTAGAGACCGCAGATTGCGAATGTCCTGGTACGTCACATACGCTAACGTGAAAAAGTTAAGGAAACAAATACACATGGGTTCAGATAAAACAATCCATGTATTTAAATCATCTCAGAGAAGACTGTCCTGGAGTCAGCATGAAAAACAACAACATGACTGTCCTCAGTCTAGCATGCATTTCTAGGAGCGTCAGGTAACTATTCACTTGTGCAGCTAGGTCATTATTAATGCCATACATGAAGATATTGCAGATATAGGTTGCGGACCGGTAAATAGTCGAATCTTTACCAGACAATCCAGAGATCAATATCTGTCCATAGACCACTGCCATCCTGGTTCAAGGACATACTATCAACTAGGGCTGGGACGGGTCCAAATTTTCAACCTGGGTATGCCACCCCCTATTACCCGTTATGTTTATCCCCGACATCAAATTTATAAGAAATGGCAATATATTCTTCAGCTCGGAGGCTAACATTTAGAGTTTTTCAATACCTTAACCATGCATTATATTCAAAATAGGTGACTGTAAATTATGTCTAAATCTTCAAAGACAATACAAACATTTTAATCATGAAAGAATAACTTATTACACTGTTCAATCTATTAGTCACATGATCATACCGGGTCCAGGTATAGAGTGAGTGAGTTTAGGTTTACGCCGCAGCCAGAAATATTCCAGCTATATGGCGGCAGTCTTTAAATAATCGAGTCTGGACCAGACAATCCACAGATCAACAGTATGAGCATCGATCTGCGCAATTGGGAACCGATGACATGTGTCAACCAAGCCAGCGAGCCTGACCACCCAATCCTGTTCATCACCTTTTACGACAAGCAAGGGTTACTGAAGGTTCATTCTAACCCGGACCTTCACAGGTCCGGGGTATTGAGACGGGTACCTGGGTCCAACTCATTACCCACCCATCCCAGGTATACAGGATACCCATCCAAGCCCTACTATCAACCAACCACTACACCTGACCAGCCAACAGAAGAAGTCACCTCTAGTACAGGGTCATTTGGCTCACAAAACATTGTTACACTTATATCTTTCTATGCTGCATATAGTGACAATCAGTGACATTGTACTTTCTGGGAATGGAATGTAAAACCTTATCTTATACGCGTGTGGAGATTTACTTATATCCTAAGTACTGGAAATTTGCATCTGCAAACATGATGCAAGTTCCATCTATAAATTTATAGTTTAACTAAAATTGTTAATGAGCTGATAGGTAATGTCACTTGCAGCGGACAGTCGCATTGGTGGAATCAAGCTTCCAGGCATCACAGAAGTCAGGAAAGCAGATATACCCTTTAAAAAATAATCATGAAACATCAGCCTCCTGTAAGCCTATGTGCACATTATGTGGGTAATAAAAGTAAAGTCAAGACTGCTCTCACAAAATTACATACAAATTTCTGCTGTCAAGAAACACCAACACAAAACTGCTGTGGGAATTACTATGACAGATTTAGCTTAACAAGTGTTATTTACTAATCAATATGTCCATACTTCCAAATCGGCTGAAAGTAATATGTATTCCTGAAGTTGCAAATTGGGTAGAGCACTGAATAATCAAACCTAATGCCTACTGTGACTAGTATCTACTTCCAATCAGGAAAGAAGTATACAACTTCTGAACGTAAAATATCATTGTCCTGATTAGAAAGAAAGTTAAGTCAAGAGAACGACTTAGTGTTCAAGAATAGCGTCTGACCCTCTGACAAATCTGGCAGATTCCCCAACGGTCTGATAGAAGTCTACAAACCCACCAGCCCCAGTGTCTGACTGTATATTTCACAATGACTTTGAGTGAAGTTGTTATATGTGACATGTGACACTTGTTTGCTGTTTAAAAATCTTATGTTTGTTAATAATTTCAAGACCACCTCCGTGGTGTAGTGGTTAGAGCGTCCGCCCATAGAGTGGAAGGTCGTGGGTTCCATCCCCGATCGTGTCATACCAAAAGACGTTAAAATATGGTACTTGTTGGTCCCTGCCTGGCACTCCGCATTAATGGGGACAAGAAGGACTGGTCGGCTCGGAGTCAGTATAATGTGTCTGAGTGGGGTATTCATGCTTCACTGCGGTATGGTATCTCAGTGGGCTAGAACTATAAAACCAGCTTCAGTCTGGGTGAAATATTCTCAAGCACTATTCTCAAGCACGTTAAACCCAATTTCACCTCACCTAATAATTTCAATGCCAATTATAACAAATGTTAAATCTGAAATGTGTCTTTAATTTTATTCTATGGGTCCTGTGAATTTTCAACGAGTCAAGACAGACATCTGAAACTTACGGGACCCAATGTCCTATTACACCATTCGTGACCACTGACAACTGATTCATATCAGCCACAGAAAATTGAAGAGGGGTAGGCACCTGATGAAACATCTCCAATAGCATCTCAGTTCTACCAGCACATTAATTACTCCAGATCTTACAGATGTTTCTCATGATGTTCATAATTTAAGTTCTAATCTGTTGAATAAAGGATATCGAGCATTGTCTGCATCTTCCGTCATGTTTTTCAGCTGTCTTGTCGAGTTGGCTATTAAATCATCGAGCATGTTTTCTTTAGCTTCCAAATCTGCCACATCTGAAAAAAACAAGCCAGTCATTATGTCCACTGTCTTCACCTTTTAGGGCAATACCTTTACAAGTGTATAGATCAACAACTATTTTCAGTGGTCTCCAATGTTTACTTTTGATCATCACTCTAATATTGGAATTATCAAACAAATGATAATTTGTAGATTTGATAAAGCAATCATAGCTTTATGAATATCAAAATACAATGCTTAAGTATCAATTTTACAAATATCTCAACACAAAGATGACTTTGTGAATATGATTACATAGATTTATAGCACACAAACCTGAATGTAAGTCGACAACATCTGTACTTATCATAGGCAGCCCTTTGGAAGCAGCGATAGAATTAGTAGCACCTCTGAAACATAAACATACACTGTGACAGAGGTTTGTCAAAATGTAACTATAGTATTTCATGTTGTTAGCGCATTTAACGTACTACAAGGATAACCAAAGAATGTTGCATACCCTCTAAACCCATTTCAGAGAGAACTCAAAAATAGTTGATGTGAAACACAAATTTAACACCAGCTAGTATTTCAAAACAAAGCGACAGGCACAAAGTGTTCATACACTTTATAATATAAGTTATTTAGAGGCAAGCAATGACATGTCTTCAGGACTCGTGGTGTTTGTATATTGTGATTTGACATAATATATTTGGGGGGGTTTGAGCCTTCACAAGCTTCCACTACAAATTACCTTTCTACAAAACAATTAGAAAACACTGTTCTATTATACACTAAAGACTTCATACTCACTTCCATTGAATATTATTTTTAGATTTTTTCTGTATTAAGTTAATTCCCTCTAGGACGTTTGTTATATCGTATATTCTTCTCTTCTGCACTTCTAGTTCCTCTGCAGCCTTGTTTAAATCTACAACCTGGAAATACACAGCAATATAAATATATGTACATCAGAAATCAAAACGCATAAATAAATTCTTGTCTGGGCATCTGGTTGTCTTTGAGTAATAAGATTAAGGTCAGACAAACAAGTGATTCATATCAAGAAGACGAGAAACATCCCATGCAGTTACAGTGTCACAAAATCAGCCAAGTCACTGCCTCTAACCAACTGACCTAAGGCACTCCAAACAACAGTGCTTGGGACCTCACTGTCAGAATTCATCATCTTACATAAACTATGTTCCTTGTTCACCGGCAAACACACATGGACAAACCTGTTTCCTGCAAGTTCAAATACCAGTGAGCCTTCCTGAGATTGTAGGAAGTAGGCATTGATTTGACATATTGGTATTAACATCAATTCATTAATCATAAAAATAATTATTCCTTACATGTACAGATAAATAGTACCAATGTTGGTCTACAATTAATAAATGAACTACTGAGAATGAACTAAGCTGATCCATTACTTGTCTTAAAATGAGTGTCTTCTAACTATAGCTCATGCTGCACATATGATGAAATCCTTGATAAACGCCAGCTGAACACAGGTAATCAAATTAAACTTACACCATCAGGGGCAGTTCGTAATAACCCTACAAACTTCTTTGTGAGCAGACCGAGCGAAGTATCATAGCGAGTCTTCTCAAGGGGAGACCGAGCAGCTGCAAGACAGGAGGGCACATGAAAACAGGGGAGCATCATGGAGCCTTTGTAGTTCGTCTTGATATTAATTCAAAACAGGGATTTTAAAACTTTCAACATCCATGAAAAGGACCTAATGACTTTTCATTTCAAATTCTGTAGAGTACAAATTTGGGACTGGCTTGTCATTGAAAGATGAGCAACATATAGTTGGCAATATTACAGCAATGTCCATGGCTTGTAAACAGTGGGCCAAGACATAGGTTGACAGCACAGGTGTATTCCATATGGGTGACACATTACTTTTTACTGATCAATGGGCTCTTATTATGCTTATCCCAAGCGTGGACTCGTGAGGATATATTCTATACCCTTGACTTCGAAAAGGATCACACGAAACAATCGACTGGACGGTTATGTCATCGATATTGGGAACCAATTTATCATTTAAGATATTTTGCCAGATATTTGGATGGGTGCTCAGGGAAAGGATAAATTACCACCTATGATTATCAATTGGTGTTGAATTGTCGATAGTCTAAGAGTTTCAGTCTATGTGCTGTGTCTAACCACAGATCAAATATCTGGGAGTCGCTGAAAGACCGTAATCATGTTTTCTACACACTGAAAGGGAAACTATTGGTAATCAATCTAACACTGATCATTGTGATGCAAAGTAGCATATCTTACTGCGAGCACGAGGACTTGACTCTGATGGGTATCTGCCTCTTCGCTTGCAGCTCTTAGGGGTCTTGAAACCTTCCAATCGCATGCCATCCGGTTCCAGCTCCAGCTTCCTCTTTGCCTGCAACAGCAATCAACAACATACACTACAGCAAAGAACAGCATGCACCAGTCGACAACATGCACAACAATAGTTGACAACATGCACACCAGTAAACCAACACACAACAGTCAACAGCATGCATAACACCAGTCACCACATCACTAATGTAATGCTCCAAAAAAAAAAAGTTTCTGCTGAGTCAGCAGATTTCTTGGAAGACCTGGTTCATCATATACTAGTCTTAGAATAAATGGTCACCTTTACTGATAAGTGTAAAAAATTCTTCAATCTTTGTATCTTCAATTACTCTTTTCTTATCTTGTAACTATGTCAAACACATGCAATGTTGCATCTTGTTTCAGGGTTCAATCATAAGACTATTTCATGGCTAAGCAAGTAAGGACATTAAAGCTTGGGTTGCTCAAGAAATGCAGACTACAAGCTAACAATGACAGGCACTGACCATAGTATGACTCCTGTTTCAACACTACAAATATGAGCAAATATATATAACATTATTTTGTTCGTGCTTTTAACATGTATTTGATACAACATATTGATTATTCAACATGTCCCATCAGTGGAGCTGGGTATGAGTAAGTTAAAATTTAAAGTCACTTTGGCAATATTTCAGCAATATCATGACTAGGAGCTGGGTATGAAATAAATCAGGACTGTGAAAGCTTCAAAATCATGTACTTTTACGGTCCTGAATACAAAATTAGAAATAATGATCATCATCAAAATATAATATACTCAGCTACATCATTGTTATTGTACCACAACCTTGATACACCAGCTAACAACCAAAAGTGAATAAATAGGTTTTTTTTTAATAATATATGAACCCCAATCCAAAAGTTATCAGCACCTTATACCTATAAATGAAACTGGATTAATATGAGAGAGTTAGAATTGAAGTTTTCTTTGTTCATCCACAAAGTTTAATAGCCGTATCACAATTTCTACTTTAGTGATATACATAACATGATTTTATCTTAGCGCATTGTTTATGTGGTAATGATATGCAGTAATATGGCCCCACATATAAAACAGCAGAAGATGCAAATTTACAAGAGTTTTGAGTATACAATGTACATAATTCAGTTGCTCTTAAGAACCTCCACAAAGGAAATTGTCAAAATCAAGCAAATTTAACTTATTCCGGAACAATTTAAGTTTTATCCTGTGCATTATTTTAACATTTCACAAATTTCAACAGAGTATCCTGTTATGAAACGTTGCACGTCATCCAGATATTTGAAGAGAGGCCATTTTTAAAGGTCAAATATCGAAAGTGGAGGAACTTAGATTAACAGTTTTAAAGTTAATGTCCACGGGCGTCTGAACTTTTGTGCCATCAAAACAGGAAACCAATACGAGTTTCATTGTATAAAACTTTCAACAGTAAAATATTTCAAAACAATAGGATGATTTCGCCAGGCTGGTAAGCGACAGGGGATGGGCGGAGCCCCCGTCGACTTGTTGCACATTTTGATACATTGCATATGCAGTGTAGCTATATGCATACGTGGCCAAGTTGTTTGCATGTTACCTGTGGTCGTATTAATGAGGGTTTCATTGGGGAGGGACTGTAGTTAGGTCCTTGTGGTGTAAAACCAGCCTCAACTTTCACTGTCGAGTAAAGTCCCAAGTCTCCCGAAGCCAGCATCTTGTTAGCACTCGATGGATGTTTATAAATACTCGTCAAGTTCATAATTTGAGGTGATTTGGCTTCCACGCCAGGTTCTTGCTTTACAACAACAGGATACGCCTGCTTCGTAACTAGTGTCTGTTTTCGTGGCATTTTGAGCACTTTCCAAAATAATTTTAAGGTCAGTCCGGTCCCTGGGCAATCTTGTGTAAGTTGTCAACTTCCGAGTAGGGGTACACATCAATCACAAAATAAATATCCATCCATGTTGCAACATCCGAAATAAGTTCAAAACAGAATAAGGTAGTAATCCAAGTGTGCAAAAATCGCCCAAAGTATCCAGTTGAAGTTGCTAAAAGCGATAGATGAGACAGATTGTTCGGATGGTAGTTTTCGGATTCTCGGCTCTCAGCCTCACTGTGAATCACAACAAAGCAGCAGATCAATTGGCGCGAAATCATATTTCCCGCGATCTGACATCACGTGAAATAGCCCGGTACTGAGCATACGTAATGCGGAACACGATCAGGATTAACATTTGACCAAAGGGGCGCTAATTAGACACTTTTGTCCTCCAGAAATTGCCGACATCACACACATTTAACATGTGACTTAACTTGGGTGATATTAACACTCTCTTCAGTGTTACTGCAACAACTTCCTTTTGATGAATTATTTTAATGCAGGTCTCGGGCCTCTTCATTCATTCTTAAAACTCAAAAGTGAAATCGACAACTCGGCCTCAGATGAAAACAAGACCCACATCGCAAAGCCATGCAAAAAGAAGACATTTATTATTGATCCAAACACTTGTGACGGTAAACACTTCAACATAAAGTTTCCCTCCTTATTAACATAAAATTTTCTATACAGTAGGTTACCCGTAATCTACATCCCCTTCGAGCCAGCGTGGCATTTGGAATTTTTTCACAACACGTGTCTATCATACTTCTAACATCATGAAATTACTAAACAAGCGAACAAACAAATAAAGGGTTTTGATTACAAGTACACTGCTCATAAAACTTTTTCAACACACCGGGGAGCGGTGCTGTATTTCTTGAATTAAAATCATTTGTTTTTAATATAAATGTATGACTATTCATAAACTTTACACATTCCCGCTTGCGCCTGACATACAAAAGCTTTGAAACGTATATGTATCTATATTTCTATGTATGGTATGAATATCTATAGCTCTTGCCTGCTCATATTCATTTTCATTAACGAACACCATATATATAATTATGGTGACATATTGTTTATAATGGCATGTTGATATGGACGATGCATACAACAAACATAACATATTTCAATATAATATGTTATACGTTGTTTATCCAGTTAAATGAATCTCGTTATAAACAAAAAGTATATTCGTCGAGCCTCACGTAGTTCAGGGTGTCGCAGGGTGTCAGCATTTTGCCGATCCAGCGCCTTTGTGTTCGCCTGACCTAAACATCGCCTGCGGTCAGTCAGTAAACGATAACCACATATACCCAGTTGTATCTCCTGCAGATTACACCGTGTTATGCAACTACGTACACATATGAGCATAAGTATATATTTGCCCGTAAATAGTATTTAGCTTGGTAGATACACATCAATGAAATGTATGTTATCATTGCTGTCCACATGCAATAAACGCGTTTGCCGGGAGATGGACGTGCTATTATACTATATAGTGTGGGTATGTTTGTGTATTACTCTAGATGAATGATTCAATTCCAATACAATATGTGAAGTTATAAGATCGTAGACACATTTAATTTTACATTTAGTTATTCACGCTTCCATGTACTATAAACGAATGCATGTTGTCTGTATCAGGTATGACTTCAAGGTTTTCTCTGTAACAAAATATTTAATATACATCCGACTTCGATATAAAAGAATTATGATATCAGATTTATTTATCAGTTATTTACTGATAGTATCTATTTTATTTACAAATATGGTTCGTTAAAAAATATATATATTTGCATGAAAAACTGAAAATCGTGTGATTTGTGCGACGACTGCTCCTGCATGCATGAGTGAACGGGAGAAATGCCTAGGTCAGTGACTGACCTTGCAGTCATTGTTGACCACAGGAAACTGTCACAAACCATGTCCGGAGATTGCATCAACGCCCCCTGTCGGCCTCCTGTCCCCTCTCCGGGCTATATCCCCTTAATTGCGTTAATTCGGCCGATTTGTGTACAGTGGTACACAAACAGTTTTAACTGTGGCACATCTATAGGCTTAACGATGTAGCGACCCCCAGGCTGATTACTGCACAAGATATGCAGTAAATCTCAACAGAAACTTTGTCTGTGTGTGATTTGAATCTTTGACCACCGTCAGCTAAGACTGACAGAGTTCGGACAATCCAGCGTATATATTCTTTCCATGTGACTAAAATGTATGCTTTAGCTAAACGAACATGTCCTCTTCTACTTTACGACCATGACGTCTGACGAGGTTCATCTGCTGGATCACCCGCCTAGTAAATGTATTTCAACCTATGTCGACGTTTTCAGGAATCATGAAATATCTGTATAGAAGCTGTGGTATCAATGAAAACAGAATTGGCTCATGGATTTTATTGTTCTGTATATTTCAATACTTGCACCAACCCCTTTTTGAAGCTGAAATCGGAATGTCAAGCGCCTTCATCTTCAAGGATATGTGGATGGCCTGCAAGAGAGTCGGTACTGAAGCTCACTATAGAGTGACTGTCTGACAACATATGCTCAGGTTTATGTATGGGGCACAAGTATGAAATGTGTTATTTAAACGTAATGGTATTTTATCGGAGGTAAATGCTTTATACATCAGCTGACAATATAAAACAGAGATAAATTAAGGATTTCAATTCATTTACCATTCTTTCTAATGCCATGGACCCGTGAAGATATCCGGATTAGAATTGGTCTTCAGTAACCCATGCTTGTCGTAAGAGGATACTAACGGGATCGAGTGGTCAGGCTCGCTGGCTTGGTTGACACATGTCATCGGTTCCCAGTTGCGTAGATCGATGCTCATGCTGTTGATCACTGGTTTGTTTGGTCCAGGCTCGATTATTTACAGACCGCCGCCATATAGCTGGAATATTGCTGAGTGTGGAGGAAAACTAAACTCACTCACTCTTATGCGATGGTTCAGCACAGATGCTAGCACATGTATAAAGCATCTATATACATGTCTCTGTGTGTATCTAAGCCAATGATTACTAGTATGTCTACTTCTAATAAAACATACAACTATGATGGAGTACCACGCAGCTTGAGAGTTGTACCATTCTTGTCAACTTCAAGAATGTCATTAAAGGGTTCATTGATAGTGCTGCATGTTTCTCAAATGCCACATAGATATGTTGTTATAATTGTCGTTTTAAATGTCAAAACAGACATGTGACACATCTACTCATCGGCTGAACCAAACTGCAAGCACTATTTTCCATGCATGTAGTGCACTTTGAAGTATTTCGTTGTGTTGATATCACGAATCTCTGGGAAACGAGGTTGCGATGAAACGTATAAAGGTTAGCTATATAGCTTCGTGGGAACTGCGAAGTCAGTGCATTACAATTAAGACGGTCGTGTAATTATCCTCGGTACAGCATGTGCACAAAGGTCTTCCCAGCAGCGGGGAGGGTGTAGCGGGTAGTCAAATAGTAAGACATTCCTTCAGTATTGCTCAAGCATGACCGGTGTTGGATGTCAACACAAAACTGGCTCTCAGTATACGTATGAGTCTGTCCTATCTCGTCATCAATCGAGGTCAAGGCTGACAGGTCACCACGACAACCTTGATCCGAGGCCATTATTGTGCTAAAATGCTTCCTCAATGTAATTTTCCATCAGATAACGGATTTGTCAGTTTAATGTATACATTTATTAAAAACATGTTTATATGAACATGGCTATTTGATGTTGATGTATTTAATAAGGGTACCACAGTTGTGTATTGGGGACTTAAGTTTGCATGCAGTGTTTGGGCGACAGTTTTCATCTTACTAACTTCTGTAATTTGTTGGTCAAATACAAACATCAAGTGTGTGATTTCTTGCTCGACAGTTTGAATTGTTTCAATGTTTCTGGAGTCTTGCGTTTGACGCCATGCTTGAGATAACCCTCTCAAACTACAAGGGTGCATATTTCTCCCACGTCTACATACTTCTGTGCTTGTATACAGATCATGCGTCTGCCCTCGATGTGGGCTTGGTGGAGTGTTTAGCATACAGCACAGTTGGGGAAGAATGTTGATCGTGGTACAAGGACAGGTACACCCTGAACGTGACATCCTTCATCAAACGGCTTTTACAAACTACTGATAATACAGACCAATATCAGACGTATACTGTTGTAAATAAGGGTGTTCTGCCAACACGAGGACCCACAGTGATAGAGCAATGGGTCCTCTTCTCTAGGTATTCATATAGCTAGAATACAGTTGTAAATAGGGGTGTTCTGCCAACACGAGGACCCACAGTGATAGAGCAATGGGTCCTCTTCTCTAGGTATTCATATAGCTAGAATACAGTTGTTTACAATGAACAAACTCATCGTTCCTCCTTTTATGACCGTTACCAATATCAACTACAGTTTCAGAATAATACTCTGTACCACCAGCTATGGTATAGTCAGGTATAGTGACATATACTCTGTAACACCAGCTATGGTATAGTCAGTACTGTCAGGTATAGTGACATATAGTCTGTCATCAGCTATGGTATTCATCAGGTACTGTCAGGTACAATGACATATACTCTGTAACACTAGCTATGGTATAGTCAGTTCTGTCAGGTATAGTGACATATACTCTGTAACACCAGCTATGGTATAATCAAGTATAGTGACATATACTCTGTAACACCAGCTATGGTATAGTCAAGTATAGTGACATATACTTTGTAACACCAGCTATGGTATAGTCAGTTCTGTCAGGTATAGTGACATATACTCTGTAACACCAGCTATGGTATAGTCAGTACTGTCAGGTATAGTGACATATACTCTGTAACACCAGCAATGGTATAGTCAGTTCTGTCAGGTATAGTGACATATACTCTGTAACACCAGCTATGGTATAATCAAGTATAGTGACATATACTCTGTAACACCAGCTATGGTATAATCAAGTATAGTAACATATACTCTGTAACACCAGCTATGGTATAATCAAGTATAGTGACATATACTCTGTAACACCAGCTATGGTATAGTCAAGTATAGTGACATATACTCTGTAACACCAGCTATGGTATAGTCAGTTCTGTCAGGTATAGTGGCATATACTCTGTAACACCAGCTATGGTATAGTCAGTACTGTCAGGTATAGTGACACCAGCTATGGTATAATCAAGTATAGTGACATATACTCTGTAACACCAGCTATGGTATAGTCAAGTATAGTGACATATACTCTGTAACACCAGCTATGGTATAGCCAGTA